AGTGATTTCTTTCTTTTTTATTTTTTTTAGTCAGGATCTCACTTTGTTGCTCAGACTGGAGTACTGTGGCACAATCACAACTCACCATAGTCTCAGTATCAACCTCCTTGGCTCAGATGATCCTTCTGCCGTAGCATCCTGAGAAGTTGGGACTACAAGCGAGTGCCACCATACCCAGCTGATTTATTTATTTATTTATTTTGCAGAGACAAGGTCTTGCTATGTAACCTAGGATAGTCTCGAACTCCTGGGCTCAAGTGATACTCCCACTTCAGCCTCCCAAAATACTGGGATTACAGGCATAAGCCACCGTGTCCAGCCTCAGAAGTGATTTCTAGTTGTAATTAGATATTTCATGGCTATTATTTCCCATAAATACTCAGCTCTCGAGTTTTGGGCATATTCTCACAAATTATGGTTTTAAGAATAAGGAAATAAATGATATGCCAATCATTCAAAAATCACCAAAATCATGTTTAAAGAGAAAATCTAGCCCATAAAAACAAGAACAGACTCACAGCTCAGGTTTCCTGTGAAAGGCTGAACAGTGCCCTCCCCAGAAACACACAGCCCATGACTGATGGGAATATAAATACCCTAGCTCCCTTGTCTTTAGGAGGGATAACTTGGAGGCTCATCTCACTATCCCCATAATTCCCCAGCAGCATCAAGTCATAGTAGTAACTTTTTTTGTTTATTTGTTTTTGAGTCAGAGTCTCCCTCTGTCACCCAGGCTGGAGTGCAGTGGCAGGATCATGGATCACCACAGCCTCAACCTTCTGGGTTCAGGCAATCCCTCCACCTCAATCTCTGGAGTAGCTGGGAATACAGGCACATGCAACCAAGCTCAGCTATTTGTTTTTATTTTTTTATAGAAATGAAGTTTCACTATTTTGTCCAAGCGGGTCTCACGCTCTTAGGCTCAAGCAATCCTTTTGCCTCAGTCTCCCAAAGTACTGGGATTATAGGCATGAGCCACACTGTGCCAGACTATGATAATTTATTTTTATGACACTTCTTTTCCCTCCCCCAAAAGGTTCACATCCCAATCCCTGGAACCTGTGATACTTCCTTATTTGGCAAAAGAGATTTTGCAGATGTGATCAAGTTAAAAATCTTGAGATAAGAAGATTTCTGGATTATCCAAATAGGCCTGATATAATCACAGGGGTTCTTCTTAGAGGGAGGAAGACAAGGAAGAGTCATAGAGAAGGCAAGGTGGCAAAGAGAGAGAGAGAGAGAGACAGAGAGAGAGAGAGAGATTGGAGTGATGCGGCCATGAACCAAAGATTGCTGGCAGCCTCTAGAAGCTGGAAGAAACAAGAGACAGATTCTCCCCTGGAGCTTCCAGAAGGAACCAGCCCTGCCAATATCTTAAATTTGCCCCATAAGACTGATTAGTTTGGTCTTCACAACTGAAAGACAATAAACTTGTGGTGTTTTAAGCCATGAAGTCTGTGGTAAATTGTTATAGTGGCACTCTACTACCAGGGTTCTGAGGAGAATCAATTTTCCACAAGGCGCATAGTCTGCAGTGAGCAGACCTCTCTCCATGAGTGTGCCCTCTTGGCAAGAACTCAATTGTTCCCTCATCTCTCACTTTATTTTTACTTGAATTTAATAGAGAAAACATTTATAACAGGAATATGTTATAAATAGAGAGTTGCTCCAAACTTTAATATCCAAATAGGAAAGTTAATAACATATTTATCTTATGTGTTCAAGGTGAGAGGATCCCAGTGTTGGGACCTAGAGCTCGATGTAGATTTCAGATCAACAAATGTTCTAGACTAGCACGGTCCAATAGAAATAGTCACATAGGGCATTACAAATTTCTAGTAGCCACATTTTTAAAATGTAAAAGAACTGGGCATGGTAGCTCATGCCTGTAATCTTAGCACTTTGGGAGGCAGAGGTGAGAGGATTGCCTGAACCCAGGGATTCAAGACCAGCCTGGGCAACTTGGTGGGTTATGGTCTCAACAATAAATCAAAAAATTAGCCGGACGTGGTGGCACATGCTTGTAGTTCCAGCTACTTGGAAAGCTGAGGCAGAAGGATTGCCTGAACCCAGCAGGCCGAGGCTGTGGTCACCGTGAGCATGCCACTGCACTCCAGTCTGGGTAACAGAGTGAGACTCCGATTCAAAAAAAAAAAAAGTCAATGAAACAGGTAACATTCATTTTAATAACAATTTTATCTAATGCAGCATATCCACATTACCATTTTAACATGGTCAGTGTTAATAATGAGTGAGATATCTCCTGTTCTTTTTTTTAATATGTCTTGAAAATCCGCTCTGTATTTTACACTTACAGCACCACTTCACTTGGTCTGGCCACATTTCAGGTACATGATAGCTACCTGGGCTACTGGCTACCATCTTTGCTAAATCGGATGGAGAAGGTCTACAGCATCTAAATAGTTTCAGTGCCCAAAGGGCATAAAAATATAAGGCAAACCAAATTCTGATGCTTAAGGTGCAAGCATGCAGCTAATGATTTATTCATCTGATGAATGTTAATTGTCTGCTATGCACCAAGCATCGTTTAAGAGGCATATAATTTTCTAGGTCATAAAATCATGGTGCTGTGTTTCAATTAAAAATAACTGGCCAGGTGCAGTGGCTAATATCTATAATCCCAGCACTTTGAGAGGCTGGGGCAAGAAGATTCATTGAACCTAGGAGTTCAAGACCATCCTGGGCAACATAGCAACAACTTGCCTCTACAAGAAAAAAAAATCAAAAAATTAGCCAGGCATGGTGGCACATGCCTGTCTGTAGTCCCAGCTACTCGAGAGGTTGAGATGGTAAGATTGCCTGAGCCCAGGAAGTAGTGACTGCAGTGAGCCATGATCGTGCCACTGCACTTCAGCTTAGGAGACAGAGTGAGACTCCAACTAAAAATAAAATAAAATAAAATAAAATAAAATAATAAAACAACTGGTGCTTATGTTAGAAAATCGCTATATAGAAGTCACAGTTTTTACTGTAAATTGTGAAATCCCAGGAAATAACCAGTAGGCACATTTTTCTGCAATGGGTGCCTTGCCTTCTTTGTATATGTGACATCTGTAATGTGAGGTCTGGAGCTGATTAAACATGGGTCCTGGGCATTCCTGAAGAACCGACCGCTTAACATTTTCAGGCATGTTGAGCAGATAATAAACACACCAACTCATGAGCCTGATACCGTGTAGAGAAACAAGAGTTCGCATCTTGAAAACAGCAGAACTGCAGACTCCTGACATGGATTCTCCAGTTTAATATTCTTTGCTTTATCCTGGGGCTTTTCAACTTTTAATTTAATTTGGTGGCACTTTGAAAGTGAATCTCCTGGAGGGGGGTTTGTCGGCCACTAAAGAACTATTAATCGCATCTCCAAATAGCACTTGGGCTTTCTTAAGTGGGATTTCCAGCAATACAAGAAACTTCAACGTTCGGGGAAAATGTGATTATGAGCAAATTACATCTGCTTACATTTTTATCGTGAAAAGGAAATTGAAACTTGCGATCATACATTCTAAGAAGCTGGCTTGAGGTTTGTTCTGTTTGAACTTCAAAATCCCTTAATACTATGGCTGACTCTGATGAAAGATTATTTTCCTGTAAGTCAAAAAAGATACTCAGGCTCACCTTGAAGAAGTCAGTACTAAACCAAAGTTCTTATCCTCAGGAATAAGAGGATCTCTCCAGGAATCATCACTAAAGAATTTCTATGGCTTAGTGGTCTCATCTGGGGGCAATTCTGCCCTCCAGGGCACCTTGGGTACCATCTGAGACATTTTTGCATTGTCACAACTTGGGGCGGGGGGGCTGGGTGACTACTGGCATCTAGTGGGTAGAGGCCAGTGACACGGCTAAATATGCTACACTGAACGGGACACTCCCCCTCCTCCAACAATTAATTATCCAGCCCAGTCCAAAAAGTCAATAGTCCTGCAGTGGAAAAGCCCTGCTCTAGCAAACACCTAAGGAGAAAGCAAGACATGACAGGCAGGGAACGAGGAAAGTTTTGGGGTGGGTATTTCCCTAAAGGCTGCCATAGTGCACTGGTGAAGAGCCGGGACTCTGAGTCAGATTGCCTGGGTTACATCCCGGCTCCTTCACTTGCTGGCTGTGCCGCCTTGGAAAAGCTACTCCACCTCTCTGTTCCTCGTTTTTCTCGTCTACAACGCCGAGATGATTATATTAGTGCCATTCACACAGAGTCGTTATGTGCTTTAGACGGGTTACTCATCTTAAAGTGCTTAGAACAGTGCCGGGTCTACAGTAAGCACTATGTGGGTGCGCATTCACTAAGCGGCTTTGCCGATCTCTGGAAAAATAACTTCCAGGTTTCAGAAAAGCTTCTGGGCAGCAAGAAAACGGCTTCAGATTCTGTATTGCCCCAGCAAGAATGAGAACGGCTGTCGTTTGACAAGCGCGTCCTTTCTTTCCAGTTCATCAACCCTAATCAGAAAGCAGTGAGGAGAGAAGTCCAGCGGCACCGCAGGCTCAGCCCAAGAGCTGTAAAGGTTTTATGGTCCTCAGTTTTGGTTTGTTCTTCCTTCCCCAGCAAAACTTGTGACTGACAACCAGTTGGTGCCCTTCGTATAAAGTGGAAAACAAAAGCCTCACAAGCACAGAACACAGCACCGACACACATATGGACCCTCACACACTCGCCCAACATATATGTCTGCAAACCACTGAGACCGCACTACCCGCGGGTCTGCGCTCAGAGCTTCCCTGTTCGTGTACCCGCCGGACGCAGCCAGGTGGGGCGCCTCGGATGCAAAGGGAACTAACTGGGTGCAAAGCCCGGCCAAAAGGAAACGGTGAGGAAATTCCGTGGGCGCTCTGGGTCTGGCATCTTGGTTCAATCGCGTCTCAGCGCGCACAGGCACACGTGCACACACACCCACATGCGTGGGAGTGTCTGGAGGGACCGCAGGCAAAGAGACGGGGCTCCAAAGGGGGAACTCAGGCCGGGGGCCGATCGCCAGCCAGACACTCACCTGGCCGCGTTCCCTAATCCACCTGCCACCCAGGGGAACAGCAGCAGGAGCGCGAGGCCCCAGGGCAGCCGCATCTTCGCGTCGGGCCTCGCTTCTCCGCCTGTGCCCCTCGGTAGGGCACCGCCTGGGACCCAGGGCGTAGCAGGGCCGCCGCCTCCTCTCTCCTTGGCCACTCGGTGTCTCTGCTCCTCCCGCAGTTCTGGTGAGCGGTCACTGCGGGTGGAGAGGGGAGACGACACCGCGGCGTAGGCGCTGGCGGCTTCAGGAGGGGCTGAGGGCGCCCTGGCGAGGCGCGCCGAGGCTCCTCTGTGGGTGAAGCGGGCCGGGTGAACGAGGGAGGGCGGGGCGGGCCGTGCACATCTGGCTGGGACCCGCCTCCAGGACGACCCGCGCATCCTCCGCGCTCTCTGTTCACCTAGAAACTTCCCCCAGACTCAATTCACTTCACGCTTGTCAGAGTCACCACCTACTGCCGTCTATTTCAGGTATCGGCCAGGTTTTGGTGATATCTCTACTCGAGAATTTAAGAATTTAGTTGGCAAGTCAACGCAATACTGAAGCTTCATAAGACAAACTATCTAACTTCTGTTTAGATTTTCAGCCTCTGTCGGGTTCTCTTCTACAAACTGCCAATCATGGGATACTAGAGCTGGAAGGTTACTAAGTCCAGTGCATTCCCATTATTTGGCAAGTGATCATTCAGGTTCATTTGCAACAGCTCACTTACGTGGGACCTCAAACGATATTGTAATATAGTAACCAGGGCAGGAACTCATGGTAGAAACATGAATGCTTATATGAATTCAGAGAATTCATTTGGGTACTGACGGGTTCTTTGTTCTGACAACTTGTTATAGTAGAATGAATGATTGATCCCTTCTTCTCCTTCTCACATTCACAACCTTTGGCTTCATGGAAGGCAGAGCCTATGATCCCACACTATGGTTTGGACTTGCTATGTGACTTGTTTGATCAATGCCATAAGAGCAGAAGTTGCAGCATGCCAGTGCCAAGCCTCGGTCTTAAGACATGTGAGCCTCTATCATGAACAGGAGAGGACCTTGCACCAGCTAGCCTGGTGTCCAAGGAGGATGAGGAACAAGTAGAACAGAGCTATCTGGTCAACCTTTAGCTCTATAGCTTGAAACAGAGCTACTCAGAAAGCCTAGTGTATATCTAGCTTATATCCACCCACAGATACGTGAATGAGCTCAGCTAAGGTCAGCAGCATTAGCCAAACTACTGAAGCTTATTGTGATTATTTGTTACACTACAATAGCGCTCCAACACCGGTGAGAAAAGAAAATAGAAGAATATGGAGAGGAGATTTGTCTTGATTAGAAGTTTGATTCATGTTTTTATGGGTATATGTCTTAATTCTGACAATACAATTTGAGAAGTAGGGATAGGGAAGATTCTTGTTACAGATTCTTGCCTTACATTGTCATAGATGTTCTTATTGGCACAAGCCATATTTACTAGCTTCTTCTATTTTAGTGTTGAAGGCATCCCTATGGATTCAGTATCCTTGGTCAGTAACTAGTTAGACCATTGAGCTGCCCGTAACTAATAGTGCAAGACACTTAGCACACATTATCTTATTGAACATTCACAACACTATAGATGGGGATCATTATTTCCCCCATTTTTGATGTGTCAAGAAACTGAGAGTCAGAGGTTAAGCAGCTTGCCTAAGATCATACAGCTAATAAGTGCAGAACTGGGCATGGGAACCAGGTCTCTTCCCCATTGGTCTCTACTGCTATTATATAAATCTTTTTGCTCATCTTACTTTCTGGCAGATGAATATGTCAAATGAGTTTCATGAATAGTAATGATTATCTCTTCAAGGCTCTCATCAAAACATTGACCTATTCATTCCATAACTTACGTTATTTGTTGAAAATATTAAAATTAAAAGAAAAGAGCATAAGGTATGAACTTCATATCTGCAAATATCTTAAAGAAAATGGAATATGAAATTTATCTTGATGTGAGTTTCTACACAAGCCGCCCCTTTGGCAAGGATTTGAGTGCAAGTAATTTGTTCTGGAGTTACAGAGAACACGAGTAGGTGAGTGAGGGCATTAATGTGCGAAGAAGACAGTATCAGGCATATATTAAATTATTGTTGTGGGTAACTGGAGCTTCATGCTGCTGAGGATCCTCCAGAGCCAGCATAGGACATACATCTCCAAATGATCTTAAACAAAAGGTGAGGGAACTGGGGTATTTACATACCACCTCCACTCAGTCATTGCCTGAAGGCTTCTACCATGGTGCTGATCCTCAGACTTCAGCCAAAGACCTCAGGCAAGGGTTGCAGGAAGTCCTACTGAAATGTAAGACCTCGGGGGGTATGAACAGTGCACCATATTTGGTGGCTACCTCATGTCTGGAAATTGACTTGAATAAAAAATTGAGTATTTGCTCATGCCACTTCTCCCTAAACATTCAGATCCAAATCACCCTTTCCTCCAAATAAACCATTATTTTAAAAAGTCCTGATTAGACACTATTAGCCTAAAATGTGGGAACCATCCTGTCTTCTTAGCTCTGAGTTATAAGGACAAAATAGCATTTTGCATTGATGTTTATCTGTCACTTTCTAACTTTAGTTTCAGCGTTTTTATGCTATTTCTGCTTTTTGTTTGTCAGAGCCTAATTCTCTTCTGTAGGCTTAAAGGAGGTGGTGGACATTACAACAGGAAACTTTGGGGGAGGTCAAACCCTCCTCAGCCAACTCACCTAGTGTTTCCTGGGGGAGCTGTGGACAAAGGAGCTGTCAAGTAGTGTGAGCAACAGAGAAGGAACCTGGAAATGATGTGTTGCCAGGTGAGAAGATGTTGGATACAAATTGCCACGTGGAGACAGGTGTTTTTAATAACTGCACTGGTGCTGTTAACTTTGAAGAGGAACCTGGTAACTGCTCTTTCAGGGATCCTACTTCATCATTCTACAAAGGAAAGACAATCTTTGATCAGAATCTCATAATATCGTCCATGCCTTTTACAGGGCTACATTTAAAAAAATCTATTTCCACCTGTGTGGAACAGGTGTGAAGGAATATTTTGGCTTTCTGAATATATATACACGACACACACAGTGCCTGGTTCTGAGATCCAAAAATTATTGGAATGTCAGCCCCAAAAGCAAAGCATTGTTGGAAGAAAGAGGTAAATGGAAGCATGTCTAGGCCAGTGTTTTCAAACATTAATGTCAGTACAAATTACTTGGGGATCTTGTTAAAATGCAGATTTTATTGTGTGAGTCTGGGGTAAGGTCTGAGAGTCTCGATTACTAAAAAGACCCCAAGTGATGTCCATGCTGCTTGTCTGAGAACCACAGGGTAACGAGAGTCTAGAGATCACCTGGACCAGTTGTTCTCAAGTTCACCTGCATATTGGGATCACTTGGGAAGCTTTGAAATGTCTAATGTCTGGGATATGGCTAGGGTATGTGATTCTAATAAACAGCCTATGACGAGAGCCACAAATATGAACTAACTCCCACATTTTACAGATGGAAATACAGCTCCAGCCTGTGAAGTGACTTGCCAAGTATCTCACCTAGGATGAGTTAATATCTCTGTATTTCTACCACATGATCCTCCTCCTCAAACTTCATGACTTTTTTTTATCAGCATTTGTAATGAAGACAAAAATGGTTCTTGGTTCTTAATCTTCTACAAAGGTAAAGAAAATACTGAAAAGAAGACATTTTGATGATATTCAGGACATTAATACAATGACAGCTCTGATGGCCATTCCAGAAAGAGTTCCAAAATTGCTTTGATGGGTGGACTAGGCAATGGCATCAGTGCATAGCTTCCCAAGGGGAGTACTTCGAAGGTGACTGTAGTCATATTCAGCAATGAGGTATATAGCACTTTTCCTAGGATGAGTTCACACACTTAATTGCCAGACTGTACATTGGTTTTCTTCATCCTGTGCTATCAGGAACCCTGCTCTTGGAGCTCTGTGGTCGAAGAAAATTGTTTTCAGTCCTCTTCCCCTCCTTTTTTCCTCCTCCCTCTTTCCTCTCTTTGTTTCTTTCCTCTTTTCTTGTGCAAATATTTGTTGGGACCCTACAAAGTGTCAGGCACTGTTCTAGGCAGCGGGGGCCACTTGGTGGAAATGTGTCTGTTTCTGTTTCTTTTTTCCTCCCTGGTGAAGTGGGCTGGATGACTAACACATGGTCGTAGAATGTCTGGTCTTTAACAATATGATTCTATGATTGTCACCTCTCATAGATCAGAGAAAAACTATGACAAGATTAAAAAAGAAAAAAATGACATTTTGAAGCATTTCCCCAAGTTTTGCTAGCTCTTAGAACCCTCTACTTGGTAACCAAGGGAGAGGGAGAAATTGATATTTGTGGAGTGATTATTATCTGCTAGACATTTTATAGAGTAATTATGTAATCTTGACAACACTTTTTTAAGATAGTTATTATCACTCCATTTTACAGATGAGGAAGGTAAAGTTTAGAGCAGTTAAACGTCTTGTTTAAAATTACCTAGCAATATAATGGAAAGAACATGAGTTTAAAGTCAGATCTCACTGGGCTGGGCATGGTGGCTCATGCCTGTAATCCCAGCACTTTGAAAGGCCAAGACAGGAGGATTGCTTGAGGTCAGGAGTTCAAGACCAGCCTGGGAAACTTAACGAGACCCTGTCTCTACAAAAATAAAAAAAAATTACCTGGCAGTGATGACACATGCATATAGTCCCAGCGACTTGGGAGGCTGAGGCAGAGGGATTGCTTTAACCCAGTAGGTTGGGGCTGCAGTGAGTTATCACACCATTGCACTCTAGCCTGGGAGACAGAGCAAGATCCTGTCTCAAAAAAAAGTCAGACTTCACTGAAGATTAATTTTTGTCACCAGGTTTCATTATCTATACCAAGGATTCACAACCTGATGATGGTGAGGTACGGTCAATTCATCATCAGAAATATTTTGTATGTAGGGGAGTATGTTCTAGTGAGGGGAAACATGGCTTTCGTCTGATTTTTAAAAGGGTCCATGACCCTTTAAATGTCACTGCTAAATAGAAAAATCCCCTTGTCTGTGAGTGAAATCGCATTGCCTTGATGTTAATTCCCTTCGCTTTTAAGCAAATTCATAAATTTTCAACTGAAGTTACTCAATCAGCAGGGATTTTTCTTCTTGTTTGGTGGGAGGAGGATTACCATTTGAGTCCATCCTGTATACTTCCTTCCTGGTCTGTGTATGAATACTCTTTGTTGTTTTTCTCTTCACAATTGAATGTAATAATAACTTGGCATAGCCCTGCAAGGCTTGCCTATTTG